CAGCTTCACCTCAGATATCAACATGGACTAAGCCTGCCCGGTCTGTTGTTGCTCGTTTGAATCATCGCTATATGAGCTTGAACTGGCTCTGCTAATGAGGTTCTAAAGCTGCGTTTGCATTTGGAGGGCAAGCGCTAATTAAAATGCAAACCGTGTATTTCCTGCTCCGAGTGCTCATGCCAATGTGGTTTCAGCAAGGGCTGCACACACGAGTCACCCTGATCTGTACCGCTCCTGTGAATTGGCTCATGAAAGTGTTTATAGTTCCACCTACAAGATCTAAAAAGGCATCTCTCTCCACTCCAGCAGAAGCTATTTGTCTAATCAGCACGTCCTAACTGGTGATGGGTGCATTTCCACAACGCATCTCGGCAGGCAGCTTGCAGCGTCCCAGACGCTCGCCATCGCCGTCGGTCCTGATGCCGCGTCCCCCCGCCCGCTGCGCGCACAGCGCCTGGCACCGAGCCTTCGCACAAAGTCACTCGGCGTAGCAGCAGGGTCCCCGTTTTGGAAAGTACCAAGAACACCTGAATATGCAACAAAGCCTGGGTTTGCTCCGTGCTGGTGCGTTCCAGAGGTGCTGACAGTGCCCAAATGCTGACACAAAGGCTGGTCGCTTTAGCTGGTGCTGAGTACATCACCCTGACAGCTACAGCGGCCTGCAGACACCCAGAAGCCCGAGGAAAGAAGTAATTTATAGCGCTTGCATTTCCTGCAAGGGAAGAAGGGCACCAGCCATTTCACCCACGCCTGACGCGTGCCTCATCCTCTTGATGCCGGTGGCACAAATAAAGCTGTCGCTTGCGGGGACACTGACCGCCAGCAGCGTGGAACGAGCCAGAAGCAGAGGCACCAGCCCAGATGCCGATATGTTTCCCCAGTTTTCTGCCCACCAAGGCTGCTCGCAAAGGCCACGCCAGGCTGTGGCAGAGAGACAAGGCTTCGGGCACCCCGGGGCAGACCGCAAACCCAGCCCCTTGCAAGCAAGGCTGCTCTGCCTCAGGGCTTTGCCTCACCTTCTCCGAGACCATTGCTCCCCACCCAGCTATGGGAGAAGAGCCCTTCCTGGCCATGAGAGCATCACCTCCATCTTGCATGCTTCGAAGTCCCCAAGAAGAGGGACGACCTCCTGCAGCAGAGACCCAGCAGCCGGGGAAGCGGCTCCCGGGAGGCCCCTGCAGCTGCACCGCTCTCCCGGCGTCCCCGCGGCTCGGCTGGCTCCATCCACGCAGGGCAGAGCCACGTGCCCACGCCGGCACGGAGGTCAGGAGCACAGCTGCACCCCGATTATTGATGGCACAAGATTAGCTTGTCTGAACAGGGAAATACATCACCAGAAAAATAGGAAACATTTGGAAAGTGGATGGCGGGTGCGAGAGTGATGAATGAGTGCTGGAGGAGCCCGGCAAAGATCAATGAATAGCTGATGAGCTAAGGAACGAGACGGCGGGGGTAAGCTCACCATGCAAATAGAGAGGGAGCAGAATCAGTAGGGAAATTGCTCACTATGGTGAGACGTTACAGTGAGCCCCCAAACAGCCTTTACATCCACGCCACAGCGTGGCTCTGGCTCTGTTCAGCATCAGTGCGAACCGGGGGCTGTGGAGAGCAGACCGCCCGCACCCGCTGCCTGCCGGGGCCCACAGAGGGACCCCTGTGCCCTGCTCTGTCCCCCCCACCGAGCCATGCCCTCTGCTCAGAGCGGTGCCTATCCCCGCCGCGGGGACAGTCGTGGAGGGGAGAGGGTCCTGCGCAGGCAGACAAAAGGGAAGTGATCCCTCTTTTATTTCCCCCGGGCCCTCTATCCTGCAGGATATCTGTTTTGGAAAGACGAGGTAAGAGCAAGGCTCTTAGCAAAGGCTCAGAGAAGGGGAAGCACCCAGAGACCCCTCACGCACACACTTTGCAGATGACAGTAACTCACCCAGCCTGGTGCTTCTGGGCTTTTACAGCAGAAGCTGCACAAACAGGCAATTTCCGTGAAGACATCATTTTGGGGTCAGCTCTGGGTGTATTACAGTCCATTAGCAGCGACTGAGACAGCTGCTCATGAGCAATAAAGACACATAACTGCTCCATGGCACTCAGACACTGGGAAAAATCATCCCAGCATGTGCTTTGCAAAGACCAGGCAGAGGCAGGAGAGCAGCACCACGTCCTGCCCTCCCCGGCAGCTGCTCGCCTGCAGCGGGCGGCTCGACACGCAAGCTGCCATCTGCACCACACCGAGCCCGTGTTGGCACAGCCCCAGCACAGCACTCGCTAATTAATACTTTTAAGCAACCGTACACACCGGCCGCCCGTACGGCTGCCAGCTCCAAGGCTCCCTGCGGTGGCCTAGCACTATCTAGTGGTGGGAGACACGGCTCCGGCAGCTCGGCCACCCCAGAAGCAAAAGGCTGGAGCTCCAGCTTGGCTCACGGGGCTGCTCGGAGAACAAACCTGTACGGACGGAGGCATCAGGGAAGCCAGCGGGAGAGTCACTGAGGACAAGCGTCATCTCCAGCGATGCAGGAGTGAGAAGTGCCCTGGTGCAGTAATTTTTGGGAACTTGTGTTTCTGGGCCTTCTGCACTGCAGGGTGGTTGAGTCGGGTGGGCTCAGGGACAGGACTCCAGTAAAAGCTGATCCTTGCGATGCTGCTGGAACACAAATCACACAAGCAGCGGAGACCCAGACTGAGCCACACCACCATTTTACCCAGTTAGACGTGGCTGTTAGACCCAAAGATCCCAACTCGTATACCGTGCGTCCCTTCCTCATTGCTTCCAAATCATTTTTATTTAGATGGTTCTGCCCTGCCTTCAGCTCCTTCATCTGCCAGTTCATAAATTGAACTTCAAAGACAGTTTCTAGAGGTGTTGAACTCACAGAGGGAGAAGAGTGACAGCAAATTCACTGGTCTGCAGATTTCTGTCCAGTACCCTTGTCCTTAGCACTAGATAGAGAAAGCTCTTCCCACCTCCCTGGAGCATCCACCGTCTGCAGCCCGACCTCTCCAAGCAGCCCGAAGGTAGCTATTTGAAAGAAAATGACAGCAGCTACCTGTGGGATGATGGGCTGAACAGAGCAATTTAAAACTGTCCATCAAAAAGCAGTCATGTTTAGCCCCACTGCCTCCTGCCCCACAGCTGGTTCTTGGTGGCTCTAGCATGCTCAGGCGTAAGGGTCTGCCAACCGGGAGGTCGCAAACAGCAGCGTCCTTTGCATAAGCGAAAGAAAAAGGCCTCAGAAAAGACTAGGAACATAGCATCGCTGGCTTCCTGAGCTAGCTGGCTCAGCACGACGCTCACTGGACCCACAATGAGATTAAAAAGTGACCTCATCTCCAGCAGATGACAGCAAGCGAGAGGCAAAGGGGGGAACGAAGCTCACCGAGTCCCTGAAGAGGCCCAAGCAGATGTGAGCTGATGAATAAACGCACAGGAGCGGCACCCCCAAGCGTAAATCAGACCTCCAAAATTACCACACTGCTCTTGAAGAGATTTGAAAAATAAACGGGGGAAGCAGGAGAGGTTTTTCTTGCCTTATATTCTCTGAGCCACTAAAGTACGTTTGCACCATGGTTTCTGGTCTCCCTCTGCAATCAGGTGGAGCAGCTTCCTTAGGAAGGTACAGCTGCACTTGTGTTCTGACCAAATAGATCCAGGAACTGGAGAGGTAAGAGCTGGACGCCTCTTTCCACTCCTTTGAGTACAGCATTTGCACGGTATTTGTATACAGAGATGAAGTATTCCTAGAGCAAGTCCCATGCGTGCAGAGCTCAGGCTCCAGCAGCACTCATGCCCTACGCCCAGATGAGACAGAGGACAAAGATGAGGTTCCCTGTTTTACAAATAACTGCTCATCTGAGCAGGGGGATGTTCCTTGCCGCTC